AGTAGAAGAGCCAAAGTTTGAACATAAGCAGTTTAAATCCAGGTCCCTTGCTCTTAATCACAACGCTGTTCAGATTCTAGAGTCCGTGGTAAATAGAACAAGTTTCAAGCCCAACCCCTGACCTTAAACAAGTAATGTGCTTAACACCTTTAATAGTTTTTAACATTTAAGAAAGGTAATGTGACCAGACAGTGACATCTCATTCCTATCTCTGCCACCCATATACATCGTTAGCACAAAGCAGTCAAGGAGAAGCTAAGGTACTTGTGCTAATTCTATCCACTGCCTGCTTTTCTGTGATTATCCAGTCATTACTCTAAGCTTACCACTAGCCCCTAACATCCAATTGACATCAGTCCATTGTTAACTATAATTCGGTGGTTCTCAGAGTGTGGCTCTTGAACCGACAGCAGCGTCAACTGGGAACTTGTTAAAAGTTCCAGTTCTGGAGCCTTACTCTAGGTGGATTGAATCAGAAACTCTGGGGGTGAGGTGCAACAATATGGGTTTTAACAGTCCCTTTAGGTGATTATGATACATGCTGAATTTTGAGACTCACTACTATAGTATACTCTAGGATTTCAGTTCAGGAGCAAACCACAAATTTGGGAGCAATAAGTGGTATTAGCATTGGGGAACCATTGGGATCTTACTCTTGAATCTCTGCTGCTGGGTCTTGCACTCTAACTTTATAGAAGTAGCCACGGCTATTCCTAAGCTAATGAGCATTTTAAAAGGGCCTTTTCGCAGACTGTGATTTTTAGTAATTGTAACTTTTGCTTTATGACTTTAGTTCATTCCTGAAAACCTGACCTCTAAGTGAAATGTTATTAAATCAGAAAAGATTTTCATTAATTTTAATGGAAAAAAGTATGTGTTTTATGATTATCTGAGATACCAAAATAATTTTGAGATTAAAAAAATATGTAATGAAAACAAGTTTGTAGAATGAATACTTTGAAAGTAAATAAAAATAGTCTGTACCTAAAATGGAATGATGGTTTATTTTACTTGCAAATTGAGGAAAAGAAGACTGATAGTCAGTGGTGGCTAGTGGAGGAGGAATACAAAGAAGTCATTCTTTGGAAAGTGCTGGAAAGTCAGGTGGTAGACTTTGAGGCAGGTAATCTTTGGGAGTTTATGGTTATCTTGCACTTAAAAGTAGTTATAGCACACCTGGGCAAGCCACTGGGACTCAGATGAAACATAGCCTCTGTTCCTAAGGAGTCTGCAGAAGGAGTGAGTGCTGTTGGAGGCACAAACAGAAAGAAAGCAAAGGAGGGAGTGGCTGGGGAGGCCTGTAAACCCCTCAGTCCTCGAACTCAGCCTTAGAAAAAGAGTGGGGTCTTGACTTGGTGGACATAGTGGCAGGGCATGCCATGCTGAAGGAGCAGTGCGGGAAATGGCTCAGTGCAGGACATACGACAAAGGGCCTGGGAGTCATTTTGAGGACTTGGAAAAGAAAGGGATGGGATTCTAATAGAGACATCAGTAGGAAAGAGGACACTGGCTCATTTCAGCTGCATTCTGTGGACAGCAAGGAGCTATGGAAAGTGAAGAGAGCAGGGCATGGTTTAGGGAAAGTAAAATCAATGAAAACTTAGTCATAGCACAGAAAAATACTTTTAGGGCAAAGTAAGGACAAAATACAGTTGCACCTTTGAAACACAGAAGCAGTGTGCACACTCAACAGATGGAGGAATCATAAAGAATACTATCTCTTCAGTCCTGCCTGATATACATATGCAAAGCAAAACTTTTCTGATTCATTCAAATGTGGTACACGATTTATTAATTTGTTCTTTATCATATTCTCTGAATAGAAGTGATTGTATTGAGTAAAACAACGAGTGTGTCTAATAAATACCACTTCTTTTGTTATATTTTGAGTATGTCTTTGATTTTTTTTTTTAAGTTTTAATGCAGAAAAGGAGAGAGTAGTCATTGTCCAAGAGTGGTATTACTTTTCAAGAGACATTATAGCAAAAAGCTACCTCACAGTCATTATGTGAGACAAGTCTCTAATGAGAAGTGACATGTTTAATAAAACTGTGCTCTAAAACTAGATTGATTGAAAACTGCTTTAAAACTAGAATTCTTGTCTTTGATTGGCAGTTGATCTGCAAGCCTTTAGATGAGGCAGTTTTTAACTATAAATTTTGTAGGCACCTCTAATCTCTTTCATGTAGCCGTCCTATGCCCCAGAGTTTCACAGTCCATTTGTTTTATAGCTTTGGCTATTCCAATTTATATTCATACTTTGCTTTTTTCTTTCTTGAGTCTGAAGGCACAGGAAGAAAGGAGCCATGTCGCCCATGGGGGGTGGGGATTTTATTGTTTTGAGTTTAAAAAGGAAGGAGGAAAGATATAACTTAGTCATAGCACAGAAAAATACTTTTAGGGCAAAGTAAGGACAAAATACAGTTGCACCTTTGAAACACAGAAGCAGTGTGCACACTCAACAGATGGAGGAATCATAAAGAATACTATCTCTTCAGTCCTGCCTGATATACATATGCAAAGCAAAACTTTTCTGATTCATTCAAATGTGGTACACGATTTATTAATTTGTTCTTTATCATATTCTCTGAATAGAAGTGATTGTATTGAGTAAAACAACGAGTGTGTCTAATAAATACCACTTCTTTTGTTATATTTTGAGTATGTCTTTGATTTTTTTTTTTAAGTTTTAATGCAGAAAAGGAGAGAGTAGTCATTGTCCAAGAGTGGTATTACTTTTCAAGAGACATTATAGCAAAAAGCTACCTCACAGTCATTATGTGAGACAAGTCTCTAATGAGAAGTGACATGTTTAATAAAACTGTGCTCTAAAACTAGATTGATTGAAAACTGCTTTAAAACTAGAATTCTTGTCTTTGATTGGCAGTTGATCTGCAAGCCTTTAGATGAGGCAGTTTTTAACTATAAATTTTGTAGGCACCTCTAATCTCTTTCATGTAGCCGTCCTATGCCCCAGAGTTTCACAGTCCATTTGTTTTATAGCTTTGGCTATTTCAATTTATATTCATACTTTGCTTTTTTCTTTCTTGAGTCTGAAGGCACAGGAAGAAAGGAGCCATGTCGCCCATGGGGGGGTGGGGATTTTATTGTTTTGAGTTTAAAAAGGAAGGAGGTAAAGATATCTGTGTTTTATTAGATATGTAAACTCCAAATTCACATATATAATATTTTATGATACTTTAATATATATTTCTTAACCTAAATATATAAATGTAGATTATTTCCTTCTTGAGTAAAATCATGTGGGAGCAAAGGTTATTGGAATCCACTCCCAGGAATATAACAGGTAAGTAGTAGTTTGTGGATATTTGGGGGTGGGGGTCTTGAATGTGAAAGATCTGAAATTGGAGGAAATTTTTCTTATTTTATATATTTTGAATAATGGGTACATCATACTTTCCCCTACTCACAAACTGCATTCATTTTTTTAAGAATGATTTAACATTTTTTAATGATTTAATGATATTAAAACATTAAATGAAAGACCTTTCTAGTTATCAGATATGGTGGGGATAGAGTTGACATTGTTTCAGAATTTTTGTAGCTTGCCAGGTTAATTTCCTTCCCACCTCCATCTAGAGAACACAGTACATTTAAAATAGGCTTTATTTCCATAGCTGAGGAACCAGGATGTACTCAGAAGGTACACGTAGCCTAAGATTCCTGTCAAGTTCATGATGCTTGACCCACAGATAGCCTCTTTTTTAAGAGTTAAAGTCTGATGATAGGTTAATAGAGACTTTGTGAAATCTTACATTAGTCATAATTGTTGCTGTTGTTTTTATAAAATGTAATGGGTACAGAAATAGTTAGCAGTGGAATGGTTATACTTGCTCGTTCCATATAAAAGGCCTGAGCTTGAGAGCCCCAGAACTGCAGTTTATGGAAAAGAAATCTGGAGATTGAGTTTTGAGAGAGTGATTAATGGTTCTTAAATTAGGCAATGATAGAAATAACTTTTTCAAAAAATTCAAGATAGAGTACACTTTGAGTCCATCCTAAAAGAATTGTTTCTGATATAGTGGTAGCAAGATTTGGAACCAGGACTACTACATATATTTGTGTAATCTGTGTTCTATACCAAGAGAGCAAAGGGGAACTAAGATCTTGCTCACCCTATGAGCTTCCCAAGCCATGTGTCCTGGCGCCGGGCTGCCCAGAGGAAGAGGGGTTTTTTTTTGTAATTTGTCCACCCAGCAGGAACACTCTTTTGCAGTTAGTCAGCCTGGAAAGGGGCACCATTTTGTGATTGACTCGCAGGCACCGTATATGCTAGCTAAGCCCTCTTTGGAATCCAGTTTAGAATAATTTTTAGCAGTTTTGTCGGGAGATCTCGGAGGTCACTTGATGATTAAATATTGTTACGTTAGCTAAAGAGAGTTCTACAGTTTATAAAACATGGGACTACTGCCATAGAACTATAAATTCAGATGAAATAGCACAGCTAAGATTCAGCACAAACGCATACTTCTTTAAGTCTTTTTATAAGAGCCTGTACTCATGAGCAATTGTGAACCAAATCTCAAAGCATTAATCTTTACTTCTGGGAAAGGAACAGCTATGATTCAGACTGATTGCCTTCCATTCAGATATTATATGTAGTCTGATGTTCAAAATCTATTGAGAATAAAGCTATTTCAGACATTTGAAACTGGTGAATTTAAAAGAGAAGAAATGATTTTATAGAGCGAATATTGGCTAGAAATTAGGAAACCCTAGCTTTTACTACCCCCACTAATTCAGTCTGGCCCAGCAGAAGTGACTTAACTTCTCTAGCCCTCAATCTCCATATCTATAAAGTAAGAGAAGTACACCCAATATAAGGTCTGTTTCAGTTATAATATTTTGTGATCTAAAAATAATAAAAATCTTTTCTAGCTAGACCTTGAAATGCTATTAAATACATTGGTAGAGAAACATTCTATTTTAAATCATTTAAGCCAAATAGTGATTTTTGCATACTTGTTCTTATTTTTCAGAAACTCTGTGAAGGCATATTTAAAGTTCTTATAAAGGACATCCCAACAACATGTCAAGTGTCCTGCCTGGAAGTTCTCCGTATTCTCTCCAGAGACAAAAAGATTTTAGTTCCTGTAACAACCAAGGAAAATATGCAGATACTGCTGCGACTAGCCAAACTAAATGAGTCGGATGATTCTTTGGAGAAGGTGTCAGAGTTCCCAGTTATTGTGGAGTCGTTAAAATGTCTATGTAACATAGTTTTCAACAGTCAAATGGCACAGCAGCTCAGCCTGGAACTTAACCTTGCTGCAAAGCTCTGTAATCTCCTAAGAAAGTGCAAGGACCGAAAGTTTATCAATGACATTAAGTGCTTTGACTTGCGCTTGCTCTTCCTCCTGTCACTTTTGCACACCGACATCAGGTCACAATTGCGCTATGAGCTCCAGGGACTACCGCTGCTAACCCAGATCTTGGAAAGTGCCTTTAGCATCAAGTGGACCGATGAGTATGAATCGGCCATAGACCATAATGGACCTCCTCTCTCACCTCAGGAGACAGACTGTGCCATTGAGGCCCTCAAAGCTCTCTTCAATGTGACGGTAGACAGTTGGAAGGTGCATAAAGAGGTAAGGTTAAAAGGATATTCTTATCTACCATGGAATTTAATTGGTCTGGGGCATTCCTAGAGCTGCCTGCAAAGGAGGAATGCTAAGTTGGGAAATGGAAAAAACGTTCAGTTCCTCCATTAATCAGTTGTATGACTCAAGATTAATTTCTTAACCATTTCTTTCCATTTGTGTAACACTTATCAGAAGAATAGGGTGAAGATAGACTACCGTTTTGTAAGATGCCAAATATAATTCCTTCTCTGAGCCATGCTATCATGTCTTTTCTTTTAAGAAGCCTCTTTCAGGAATAAGGTTTAAATTATAAGATTTGAAGGGAAACAAAACAATGTGGTTCATAAAGGTATAGGCATTTTCAATGGCTGCCGTCTTAAAAGTTAGGATAAATCAGGCCAGTTGAAACTGATAATGAGAATTGATGTCTGCTCGGAAGAGTAAAAGATGCTGTGTTATCACTTATCATCCAGTCTCCTAGAGTGTTACTTTATAGTGTTAGATAACTTTCAGAAGTGTAAGACTGCAACTTGATACCCATGCTTGACCACAGTCCTAGAAAACAAGCATAATTACACGAGAGTATGGGAAAGGTTATTTTAAACCACTTGACTTATTTCTAGACTAAGATCCTTTTCTGTGGCGTGGACCTTCCAGCAGCTCAAAGTAAGGCAGATTTGATAGTTATATTTGAGTACCCAGAAGAACATTATGCTAAACAAGAAACTTAGTTTAAGGAAGTCAACAATTTTAAGTGAAGCAGACATAAGCTCTTTTTCCTTGTTTCTAGAATCTTGACATTTTACATTTACCCTCTCTCCTTAACCTTAAACATCTGGTGAAATTCATCTTCCGCTTTTAAAAGAAAAAAAAGCATTTTGATGCTAGAGCAAATTATCTTTTCTAACAATTGATTTTAGGTTAACATTTTGCTGTGTCCATTTGAAGCAGTTCTCACCATGAATAAAGATCTGTTTTTGCCAGCAGCCTGCTTTGAAAGGATTATCTCAGTGCAGTAATATAGTGGGAGTATGCAGGCATCTGAGTTTTAAAGTGCAAATAGGTCTATATTTTGAAACCAAATATTTGAAGATCAGTCCTAACAGCTGTTTTAGATGACTGTAGTATGGTCAGTTTTTCCTGGGACTTGGCAGAAAAAGATGTGGAAAGCCCACATGCTCCATTTATGCTTTGAAACCAAATATTTGGAAGTATTTAAAATGTTATGTCTCTATGCTTATTTGGTACCTTCTGTGGTTATTTTTCTTACACTGTTTGTTTTGGTGTTTTTAAGTTTTCCATTTAGTTGCAAGAGCTTTCTGAGACTGTTGGTTTGCCATTGTTGGACCCTCTGTTATTTGAATTGTGCCCCAAATAGTAGCTCAGACTATTCAGATTCCTGACAAAAAGGATTTATAACTCAATGGCTGCATATCAGTGTATGTATGGGATGGCATGGAATAAATACCAATAAATTGAGATTAGCCCTCATTAGTATGCTTCAGTTTTTAGTAATAGTGGGGCTAGAAGTTTTAGAAGAAAATGTTCATGTGGCAAATAAATACTCATTCTATGTAATGGAATGTTTGTTCTCCAAAAGATCCATAAGAAAAGATCAATAGTCCCAAAGCAGGCATCTCAGCAGACCTAGTGCCTCTTGGGTTGTGGATCAGATGATACAACCATTATAAAATGTGCCCCATTAATGTGACTCTGGGCTATTATTAAAGTTATCAGAAATGTAAACAGTATTGAAAATAGCCAATTCATTTAGTCAAGAGTGTGGGATAGGTTTTTTAAGCCACTCGAGTCTCTATAAGTCTCCAAATTCAAATTTTAGCATACATTTAGTCACTCAGTCAACAAATATTTATGGACAATTGCTAGGTGTTCTGCTCTGTGTTATGTAATATATTGACAAATAATAGGCACAGCCTCTGCTTTCATGGAACTCCTATTTTGTTGGTGAGAGAGGTAATAAGTAAATAGTTATATAATTCAAATTGTATTAAGTGCTAAGAAAGAAACAATGCAGTGATTGTACTTAGTATAGTCACAGAAGACCTCTGACGGTCTCTCCTGAAATTCGAAGACAGAATGATTCAGCCATTTGAAGAATGGCGGATGAGCATTTCCCAGAAAATGAACAGCATGTGAAAAGACACAGAAATCAGCATAGTGTACTTTTTAGTGAGGTACCCACAACTTAGTATGATGAAAATCTATAATAAGGACACAGAGAAACTTGCCAGAAAGAGTCCATTTACCTGGATTTTAATATTTCACTTGTCAAATGAAAGATATCATTCTCCAATTTAGCAAACACCTATAGAATTGTTAATGCTTTAAAATACCAACTGAAATAAAGAGACATGGAAAACACTGTACAGAAAAATCCAACTTTAAAATATAACAAAATAACTAATATTATTTTCTTTGTTATGAAAATGATGTATACTAATTGTAGAATCTGTAGG